TTTCCTCGTATATTTATGACTTTAATCTCATTTTTTATATATATTTATTTACCCTAACCTTCGTTCTCCTTCTGACATTACAGTATTTAATGTTTATATGTCTTTTTCCCATAATGCACTAGTCTCAGGACTTGAACCATGAACTGCGTCTCTACAGACTACTACACCTCACAGTCAATGCAGCTCCAGGTTCCTGCAACAGTTTCTTCAAATGTTAATATTATGGGATGGTTCTCTCTGGACCACAGGAACTCCTGACTTTAGCAGGAACAAAGTGTCTGCTGTAAAAATGCTGACGGGACATTTGGATCAGAGGAAGATGTGAGATGAAGGTGAAGCAGCAGCAGTAACAGTAAAACAGCAGCAGTAACAGTAAAACAGTAACAGCAGCAGTTACACCAGCATTAAAACAGTAGCAGCAACAGTAACAGTAACAGCAGCATTAAAACAGTAGCAGCAACAGTAACAGTAACAGCAGCATTAAAACAGTAGCAGCAACAGTAACAGTAACAGCAGCATTAAAACAGTAGCAGCAACAGTAACAGTAACAGCAGCATTAAAACAGTAGCAGCAACAGTAACAGTAACAGCAGCAGTAACAGCAGCAGCAGCAGTAACAGCAGTAACAGTAACAGCAGCAGTTACACCAGCATTAAAACAGTAACAGCAGCAGTAACAGTAACAGCTCCTCCTCCTCATAACAAGGTCATTTATTATGTATGTTTTCTTCGTCATGGCTCAGACACAGCTGTGTGTGTGCCGTTCTTTCTGTGTCCACAGAGGACACCCTGGTTCCCAGTGGGCCGGGGTGTGTAATGAAAAGTCAGGGAGCGTGTCAGGAAGAGGAAATGGAAACTGAGGGACCGTCCCTAAAAATAAATGTAGATTTTTCTCATGGTGGACCAAGGATTCTGGACACTCCTCATGGATGTCCATGAGGAAAATGAAACTGTTAGAAACATGACACACACACACACACACTGTCCTGCTGGCAAAAACTATTCAATAATAATGAAGAGACTGGATTAACCAATCGGCTGCCACACCTTTTCACAGCAGACAGCAGACACTGACACAACACAGAACAGACACTTGTCTTCCATTGGGAGTCAAAAAGTTGGTGTCGACCTTTTTTCTGTTCCATAGTAATGTTCATGTGATGGAGAAAACCAGCGTCCCCTGGACCAGAACGTTCTTTACTGTAGTGACAGCTCCATGTCTGAAAAGTGGTGACACTGACAGACAGCTGTGAAACCAAAATGATCATTTAGTCACCTATATACACGGGTCATGCTCATCTCCCTTCAAAGGCCACACTGCTGCCACCTAGTGGGTCAGTTCATCTATTTACAAGCCTGACATTAATGGACCAGCTTCACCAGTCAGTTAGTCAGTTAACTAGTTAGTCCTGCTGTGACCACCAGCACAGGACACACCTTTGTTGTTGTGTCTTTGAACCAACAATCATCTGTTTATCAACCATGTGACAGTGAGTATGTGTGTGTGTGTGTGTGTGTGTGTGTGTCCACCTTTGAAAAATAAATGTCTGTTTTTACAGCTGCAGCTTCCTGGTGTCAGGCTTTTATTTTTTTAATTCCGACCAGATGATATTTCCTGGTTGGCAGCTCAGCTCATGTCTATAAAAAGTGATGAATAATTAACTACACACACACACACACACACACACACAGACCCTGCACTGACAGCAGCAGCAGCTCAGACCTCAGTCTGGTTCATCTGTATTTCATCACCTGGTCGTTTCTTCTCCTTCCTCTTCCTCTTCCTCTTCCTCGGCGGCTGACATTGAACTGCAGTCTCCACAGCTCCTCCACTCATTTGCCGTGTCTTTACACCAACTGTAGACAAACTGCTGTGTCAACAGATCAAATCTTCTACATTTTACACAACCGCTGAATTCATCTGCCGATTGTTTCGTGCTTTACAGTTTTTACACCTCCTGTTAATGAAGCGTTATTTTAAAAATCTAAAAAATCTCCTCCTTTTTCTTCTTCCTCCTCCTTCTGCTCCTCTTCTTATTCCTCTTCGCCACACTTTCATCTTCCTCCTCTTCTTCTTCTGGTGTTCATCAAATCCTCGTCTGTTTCTCTATGAAACATCAATTATTCATACATGGTTTTGGAGCCAACATCTCTGCCCTGAATATTAAAGAAGTGGACAGCAGCCCACAGCCCACGGCCCACGGCCCACACCCAGACCTGAGCTGAGTGGACTGGTTCTCCTGCTCCAACATCTCAGAGGAACCCTGAGACTGATGTTCTCAGGTGTTTACTGAAGGATGAAAATAAACAGGTTGGAGTCTGAGAACAGGCTGACCCTGGTCCTGACTGAATCGGGGGGGGGGGGGGTCTCGGCTCAGCGATCCATCACATATTAAATGATTCATTTTCCCTCCACTGTGAGGATTAATTACAGACAGTAAAAATCTGAACGTCTGCTCACAGTAAACAAGGACTGAGGAGAACCAGCACACGGTGGAACATACTCCACAGAACGCGGTGGAACACGGTGGAACACGGTGGAACACGGTGGAACATACTCCACAGCACACGGTGGAACATACTCCACAGAACGCGGTGGAACACGGTGGAACATACTCCACAGCACACGGTGGAACATACTCCACAGCACACGGTGGAACATACTCCACAGCACACGGTGGAACATACTCCACAGAACGCGGTGGAACACGGTGGAACACACGGTGGAACAGTTTAAAAGAAAGAGTGACATTTGTTTCTCACTTTTCTGTTTCTTCATCTGACAGCAAGCATGTGCATGTGTGTGTGTGCGTGTGTGTGTGTGTAGCGATGTTACGTTTCTGCCCACACAGATCAGGAGTAATCACACCAGTTTGCAGTGTTTTGTAAAATGTTACAAACAAAGAAAAATAGCTTAAGTAAAATCCAACAAAAGATTAAAAAAATGTGTTTCAAGAAAACAACAAAAAAACGTCAGACAGGATTCAGGAGCTGGAGAACAGGAAGTCAGAGGATGAAAAAACAAATATTCAAAAGTCTGAAAATGAAGAACAAGAAAACGGTTATTTACACACACCTCCACAGGAGTCATGTGACCCACAAATACAGCTGAGTGAGTGTGGACAACGGTTCTTCTCCTCCTCCTCCTCCTCTTCCTCCTCTTCACTGCACTCTATTATTTTCTACATGATGTTTACATGTCTCCAGGAACCCAATTAAAATGTGGCCCAGGGCTGTGGGCCACACAGAGCTGAAGCTCTCTCACATACACACACACAGTAGTAGGATAGAGCAAGAATCCCACATGTGAGGATCAGGATCTGGTTCAGGACAGGAAGTGACATCACAGCCATGGTTTATATTCAGTGTGTGCAACAGTCACACTTGTGTGTATTGGTGTGTGTGTGTGTGGATGTGTGTCAGCATCAGTGTGGAGCAGATGGAGTGTGTGGAGGTGAGTGACGCTCCTCCTCCTCCTCCTCCTCTTCCTCCTCCTCTTCCTCCTCCTCCCTCCGACTTTTATTTATTTGATTTTCTCTCACGTTTCTCTGGAAATGGACCATGTAGTAAAGTGAGTGGACAGAAAGAAGATAAAGCTGCAGCAATTAACGCTCACTCACACGTGAAATAAACACACACACACACACCCTATGTGTGTGTGTGTGTTTATTTTCACTGTGATGAAGTGTCAGTGTGTGACAGCTTTATTTCACTCTTATTTACTCATTAATTAAAAAGACATAAAAAGTGTTTAAAAAAATACCGATAATTATTTGACCAGAGATAACTTTAGTAACATTAATACAGTTCTAACTAACTAACTAACTAACTGACTAACTAACTAACTAACTAACTAACTAACTGACTAACTAACTAACTAACTAACAAAAACATCTCTAATCCCATATCTGTATTTATTCCGTGTTACGTTGTTGTCGTCGCTCAGGCTCTTCAGTGTTGTGTACATGTGCGTCTCAGTGTCAGGTTGCGATGTCACTAATGTGCTGTTGCCATGACAACCCGGTGCGGACCTGCATCTGCTCTGACGTCCTCCGCCATCAGAGTGAAGCTCAGGTCTGTCTCTGGTAAAAAGCTGGACCCCGACAGACTGGTCTCTGAGCAGACACAGACCATAACTGTCTGTAATCTGAGGAATGACCTGTAGGTGGCTCTGTGTCTCTGAAGGACAGTCACGTGTCTCCACACTCACGCTCATCAAAGTCTGGATCTGTGATGGAGGAAGGAGTGTCTGCTAATGCTGACAGATGCTAAGAGAGAATCCTCCTCTTCCTCACACCATTATCAAGCCAACTTCAACCCCAGAACCATGAAGTGAACACAACTGACTTCAGGTCCATTTGGGACAAATGTCTCATCATCTTGAGACCAATCAGGGTTAGAACTACAGACCTGACTCCTGCCTCATAAAAGAACCCTTATACCAGGGTCAAGGTGTTGTCGGCCGGGTGTTGTCGGCCGGGTGTTGTCAGTCATAAGAAAGGCTGTGTTTATTCCACTGTGTTCCAGGCTGCAGGTTAGTGAAGCACATCTTTTTGTCCTCATCAAAAATACAGAAGCAGAGACTCTCTGAGGAGTTTGGTCTCATCCCTGAACCAGACTGAATTTCACCTCCTCCACCACCGTCTGCTGGCCCAGCAGATAATCACCAACACCCACTGACCACAAAGAGGGCAAAAAAACAACCAGAGGCCTCAGGAACAACGACAGTTATAAAACAAATTAAAAATCACGACAGCAGCAGCAGTTTCTCCTGATCTGTACCACACCAATCATTTATCCAACCTACAAAAACCTCCTGACACATGCTCTTCATTCTGATGGGCTCCACAGCTATGGTCCTACAGCAGTGCAACACTGCCCCCTGCTGCTGACTAGACCAATAGAAATAAAAACCACACGCGCCGCGTCTTTAATTTCAAAGAAAGTTAGAAAAATGTTTTAATAATACTTTAGTTTAAAACAAAAGTCATAGGGACTTTGGACCCACCTGCTGGCCACAAGGGGTAGGGCAGATGAGTCTGACTGGTACACAAAAGATGAGAGCCCAGTTCTGCTTACAGTGTCCATTAGAAGATTGTAACACTAAGAACTTTTTCCAGATTTAAGTTGTTTACTTTGTTATATTCTTCATCTCTCAAAGTCCACAGAGAAAATCAGTGATTTTAGTTCAGACCAAAGTCCACAGAGAAAATCAGTGATTTTAAAACAGTTCAATCTCCTCAGCTAATTGTCACCTGACAAACCCAGGTGCTGGTCACTGAGTTGAGACCTTTAGACTTGTTTCAACATCATTTCCAGTGAGAGTACTGTGTGTCACAGGCGTAAAAAGGTTGTGACCTCAGCTCCAGTCCAGCAGCTGCTCCACACTCTGGTCACTGACTGGAACATCTTTGTTTGTCTAAGTGAAGCAGACTTCATCAGATTATTAATTCATGAAAACGTAGTGAGAGGTTCACAGTCGCTCCAGTGGGAATATCCTCTGAAGTGACACCAGACGAATACTTTTAATAAAGTCTGATTATTTTTATCTCTTTACTGAATTATACTCCAAGTTTTTAATGCATCCATTAGAGGTTTACAGCGGTCACAGTGGGTTCATGACAGCTGTTTTCCTGCTGTAATGATACCACGTCTCATTAATGGTGCAGATACAGTGACATCAGGGTAAATGTGGCCTCTAAGTACCCCACACTCCAGTACCTCACAGTGAACATCTGATGAAAACACTCCTTCAGCAGGGTGGGTGGATATGTGTGTGTGTGTGTGGTTATCAGAGTTGACATTTACACCTGTTTTCTTCTGCTCATTGTCATCTTTGATGACCTTTGACCCAAACACATGTACATGACATGCAGATGGTGAAGAAAAAATGATATTCCTGGTGCTAACTTTGGAATGTAAATAGTATCATCGTGTCACACAAAATTGCTTATCCAAAGAAACCTTATACAACAATCTCTTGTCACCACTAGATGGCACTGTGACATAGATTGAATGAAGCTACACAGGTGTTCTTCACACTTGAACTTTTAGTATCTGACCAGTGTGTCTGTTTTTATTACCAGACTGGAAGTGTAGTTCACAAAGGTCAAGATCAGAGGTCACAACGTTTTGCTCCACAGTCCAGCTCCATGTCAGACTGTGGTCTCAGGGACCAGTCACCAAAGGTGGAAAATGAAACCATCGGACTGATGTTAAATCAGGTCTAAAGGTCACAAAGGTCAAAGTGACCGTAACAGTCAACAGAGAGGGTTCGTCAGGTGACGGACAACCAGCTGTGGTGATAAAACTAAAGGCTGCTCTCCTGTGACCTCTGTGACCTTTTATAGAAGCTCTACCAAGACTTTTACTTTGAAAAGACTCCACAGTGATAATTGATCAAATAAAAATGTTATTTATTTTCCCGCTGTGACCCAGGACCAACTGACCCACATCCTGGTTCTGGTCCAGGACCCTGGGGTCTGGAATCTAACCGATGTGAGAAGAAGATACAAATAAAGTAGAAAATGAAATGACTGATTTTATCAACATGATAAAAGAAGAGAATCGAACCAACAACACTAAAGTTCTGACATGATACATGATAAAGGTTAGGTCAGAGGTCACGTGGCCTCCAGAGACTGCTCGGGGTCACAGGAGTTCATGACAAGATAGAGGCGTTTGGAAAGTTCTGGGCCCACCTTCCTGGTGGTGGAGGTCAGACCTTCACCTCGGCGGATCAGCAGGTCAGAGAGCAGCAGCATCTTCTCCCGCTCCGACTGACAGCGACTGTAGGCCTGAAGACAGGAGACAGTGGACGTGTGGAAGTGAGAGCGGTGACAAGCAGCTGATGAACATGTTTTTAAACAGATGTTAACAGTTGAGATTTAATCTAACAGTTAGCTCAAGGCTAAAAGTTGTCCACGATCAGCTGTTGTCGCTCCGAAGATAAAAGACAAGGATGAGATATTAAAGTCAGAAACCAAACATGATCCTGGTCTCTATGGACATGGTCATGGCTACCTGGTTGATCCTGCCAGGAGCATATCTCAAAGAGCTTGTCTCAAAGATTAAGCCATGCAAGTCTAAGTACCTCTTGTTGCTGGTGCTACGCTACCACAGTATGGACAGTAAGACAGTGACATCATCACCTGTTCACCTGACAGGAAGTGTGTACAGGGGAGCATCACTGAGACGAGACAAATAAAGCTCAGATATGTCAAGTCAGAGATCCTCAGGAGTCTTTGCTGAAAAAGCTGGAAGTTAGCCAAACTACAGCTAAGGGTTAGCATGACCAGTACCTTGTTAAGCAGCTGTGGTGAAGGATAAGCAGCTACAACAGCAGAGGCCACGTCTGCACTGACTCTGTTCAGCTGCTGCACCTGTCTCCTCCACACCTGCAGCAGACCCTGACCTGACCGCTCCACCCGCTGACCCCCACACCACTCAGTGTCCAGGTGGAAGGAGAAGACAGTCTCAGCTCGCTGTCTCCTGGAGACACACACACACACACACACACACATCATGGTGATTCCAGTCAATTTCTCCTCTCCTTTCTTCTCTCTCTCTCTCTCTGTTTTTCTCACTTGAACGGAGCTTCAGCCACAGCTTTCGTCGTCATGGCGATGTGATCGGCAAAGTCCTTCCAGGTGGACAGGAATCGTACAGAGACACCGGTGTGAAGCTGCAGGTGCACCAGTGCCTGATGGGATATTTTGTCAGCACAATGTTGTTTGTTTGATGGTGACTAAAACAACAATATCTATGAAAACTCACCTCCTCCACCTCCACCCGTGAAACCTCAGGAAGGGTCTCGGAGCTGCTGCTCTTGCCTTTCCTCTCGGTCTTTCCACGAGACTTTTTCTGGTTCGGTATTTTCTGGGATCTGAAGATAAAGTCAAACCGACCAATCAGCTCTCAGCCCAGCAGGGTCAGTACATCAGTCTCTGGGTGGTCCAAGAGAGCGGGGTCTCTTTACCTGAAGTACGTCTCCACGTCAATGATCACCAGACTGAGGATCTTTCCAGGGTTTCTCTTCTGCTGGTCTTCAACCCAGGACGTCAGACTGGGACTGGACTCTGGTCTGGACGACCGTTCCTGCTGCAGGAGATTAAAGAGAAAAAAAAACTGTTAGAAACAGCTGTTCATCTCTACGACTGTAGTCCAGGTTCAGTACTAACAAGACCAACCTGGACGGAGCTGTGGATCAGTGAGCAGAAATCCTCCACCGTCATCTGCATCACCACCTGAGGCTCTGCTTCACAAACACCTTCACCAGGCTGAGAGGAGCAGGCACAGAAGAAGGAGGAGGAGAAGGAGGAGGAGGAGGAGGAGTCACTTCATTACTAAGAAACGTACATGAATGAGTGGTGATGTCAGTGAGCCGACCGTCACCTGTGCTGTACACGTCGTCCTCCTCAACCAGCCGACACTGCGAGGAACTGTTTGTTTTTCTATGGCACAGCTGCAGCCCAGATCCTGCAGAGTGGACAGCAGAGCGCCCCCTCCCTCTAGCTGCAGAAGAGCTTAAAATAAAATTTAAAAAATGTTGTTAATAATTATGTGCTTCACTAACTCAGATTTGACATTTTCCCTCATGAAGATACCACAGCAAACCTCAGAGAGAAGTCAGTGATTTTAGACACAGCAGTTACTGATCCACTGCTGACTCATCACTATGTTTGGATGTGTTATTTTGTGACTTCAATGTCCTTTGTTCACATTTCCCTTATTTAAGTACAGTTCTTTTGTATTCATACATTGTGCCCCTCTGACAATGACATCATCATTACCCCTGCTTTGTTGCCAATCCTGACTAAATGACTTCTCCTCACCTGGATCCACAGCCACCACCATATGCTTGATGCATTCTTCTGGCCTCATGGCTTTGGCAGCCTCTGCTAAAGCTTTCCTTTCAGCTTTCTGTTTCTCCTGCTCCAGCTTCAGTGCCTCCCTGTCCCTCTGCTTCTGCTCCCGGGCCTGTCTCCTCCTCATTGCCTCCTCCCTGGAGGCCTGGACCTCCTCTGCTGTCCGCCTGGCATGTCTCTTCTTGGCAGGGGAGTTGTCATCACTGCCTGCGCTGCAGAAAGGTTTTGATGACAGCCCTGGATGAGCTTCATCCTGGCCCTCCTCTGAGCCAAGGGATGCTCCACAGATCCCACTTCTCAACTGAGTGCAGCTTGGTAAAAGTTCTGGTTCTGGAAAAGTGTTCTGTGAACAGTTTGACAGATTCTTCTGGGCATCCGTCCCACTGCTGACAGCAGAGGGGGCACTAATCACATTCCCCTGTCTCTGTTTGAGTCTCAGTGCCAGTGGGACATAAGGAGTATCATCATCAGAGTCACTGCTCACCATCATCACGTCAGCTCTACCAGGACCACCACTTCCCTGGACTCTGTCTGCAGCAGGGACATCTTCTACATCTGACTCCTCCAGATCCACAATGACCGGCTCCTTCACCGGTTGACTCCGGTCTTTCCTCTGGAGGAAGTCAATGACCGGCAGCTCTTCATCCGGGTCACTGCTGGAGTCACTGAAGCAGATCATGGTCTTTTACGTCCTGTCAAAAGACATAGTATGAAAGAAAACTCTCAAACTACTTCAAACCAACGCCATTCCGGTTGCAAAATAACAGCATAAATCATCATGCACAAGTTTGAATTACATTTGAATTCTATCTTTGCCTGATAATTGAACAACAATGGCGTGAGAAATACCATCGTGTTAGCCGTTAGCAGCATTGGCTGTGTCGCTGGTGTTTTTAGGAACTGGTACAGTTTTAATAGCTTCTTGAAAATAAAGGTTTGGCATAAATAATAATATAACTGTTAAATACTTACTGCCACCAAGTTACTGTCGCTGACTAGTAAAGTGTACAGGTTTATGTCAAATTCACAAACAAACGCAAGAAACTGTCACATGATGAAGCTGGTTTGATTACCCCGGTTGCCGGGCTGCCCCCTCTTTGGTGCGTTCATGGTAATGGGAAATGTGTGTTTTAACGCCAAAACATGCGTATATGCTTGTAACCGTAGTAAGATGATGCACATAAATTCGTAATAGAACGTGTAAATAACGATTACTTAAATTCTTGAAATTCTTGAAATTGCTATAATACATTATCGATATTTTAGTTAAGTCATCGATTAGTCTTTCTAAAGATTTGAAAGCAACACGATTAATCGGATGTGACGCGATAGACTTACGGAAGGGGCTGAGTCCAACATGGCGTCGTTGGCGTCCTTGATGCTGAAGTCCCGAGCCGGTAATGATATATGTTAGTTTTAGTAGCGTGATAATAATAACGACGTAAAGAGACGTCAGGTCTGAATACGACTTTTTAAAACGTGACCCAAACCCAAACGTTTTTAAACGCAGTTCGGCGGCTAACAGTTAGCTCTGCTAGCTCTTCGTGTCACACATGGTGTTATTTACATCCATTAATTAGCATTCGTGTCACACATGTCGGTGTTATTTACATCCATTAATTAGCATTTGTCCATGTCCAATGCCCTCTTACTGAGTTTTTTTCTCCCCCTGCGTTATTGGGTTTGGGCCTGTTTTCTGATGCCTTCTAGTGTTTCTCTGCTGTTCTCAGGTCTGCTGTCACCTCATCAGTCCGGTCTGCTGGGCTCCATCAGGTTTGCATCAAAGAAGTCAGGCGGCAGCGCCAAGAACCACGGTGGAAATAGTCCTGGTCGTAGATATGGCTACAAGAAACAGGATGGTAAATATTTCTCAAGGTTTCTTTAAAATGCCAACAGTAACGTTTAAGTATTAAACACCAGACGTGAAACTTTTTTTCAAGGAAACTTCGTCCATGCTGGGAACATTCTAGCAACACAGAGATTTTTAAGGTATCATCCAGGAGCCCATGTAAGTGAACGCATCATTACATTTTAATTTTTTTCAAATATAATTGTTAAATTTATTTGACACTGTGTTGCACTTGCACCATCTGTCCTGTAGGTGGGGGTGGGAAACAATAACACCCTGTACGCTCTGGAGGACGGAGAAGTCCGGTTCACTAAGGAGATCTACGTCCCACCTCCTCGCAGCTCAGAGGCTTCAACTGTGATCACCCGACTTCCCAAAGGAACTCTGCTCTACAAGACCTTCATCAACGTGCTGCCGGTGAAGCAGGGGGGCAAGTTCAGTCTGGTGGACATGGTCTGAAGGAAACACTGGGCTGGGTTTCTGGTTCCTGCTGGAGTCTTGATGGGAATGTGAACAGGAAAGGCATGCTGGGCGACCTGAGGAGCTGACACTGTCACTTATGTTTGTTTATTTTTTTGTACTGATCTTCTGTAAAATACAGTGTTGTATTAAATAAATAAGAAACTGCAGATTTGAACATAAACTTTCACCAAATGTCTTCTGAGATGCTCAGATTATTACCTTCACACAAGTCAAAAAATCAAAATAAATTATGATCCTGTTTTAAAAAAAACGTCATGGTGAATTTTATCAGTTGGGAATTCTTTTGAACGATTCTATCTATTGAACTTTTTCCATGGTCATTTCTGGGTATTTTTTATTTATTTTTAGAGTTATCTGGTTATTTCCTTAGTTTCCATTTAGCTCGGGCATTTTCCTGTGGAACCAGACAAATGTTTGGCCGTATTTTTAGGCTAACTTTTAGCTACTGTGCTAACCTTTTATTATAATAGCCCTAGTTCTTGCTGCTATAGTAATACCAATTAAATAAAAAAATATTAAAACAATGGATTGTACATGACATTGGACCATGAGAATGTAAGAGACAATAAGTTTCCTGTCTATTGACATTTTGACTAAAAATGTCAGATTCGCGTTGGTTTCACTGCCTTGAAAATAAATCATTTTACTGTATACATCAATATAAAGTGTAAAAGCAAAATGACCACTGGGTGTCACTGTAGATCTGTAGCTTCAGCAGAGATAATTGAAACAGTCCCCTCCTCTCACCTCATCTGAGTCCAGACCTTAGTGAGATCATCCTGTGGACCGGTGCTCAACAACCTGGGCTGCAGCGCCACCATGTGATAGTGATTGATCTTCTCAAGTATGAACATCGCTCCAAGCACCTGAACAAACACAGAGATAAAATGAATCTGATCAGAGACTCTCCGACGTCACAGTACCAGGTCCAACTATTATATTATATAGTCGTTCCTGGTCTGAGGTTAGGGCAGTAGGTGAGGTGCACTGGACATAAGTGTACCACTGCTGTAATACTTGAATGATAACAAGCCTCCAGTCACTAGGGGGCAGCAACTCATAGAGTGGTTTGTAAAGATAAAAATATACATGTTATCAGGTTCTCAGTAGTATTCCAATTCGTAGGGGAGTGGGTCGGAGGGTGTGAGAACATTTCTGTCCCCAAGAAGGGGTATAATGAAAAACCACGGGGTTAGGGTGAACTCTACTGGACATTAGACAGAAAATAATGAAAAACCACTGGGTTAGGGTGAACTCTACTGGACATTAGAGAAACAACAGCTGAATTCAATCTGTCAGAATGAAAATAAAAATATTATAAAATGAATCATCATCACCTTTGTTCACATAAATTCATTCACATCTTTACATGAATGATGAATTTATGAATGCTCTGACTCACCCTCCCCCATCTGTCCCTCTTCCTCCCTCCCTCCCCCATCCTACCCCTCCTCCTCCTCCACTTCCTGTGTTGTGTTGATGTGACGGTGAAGTGACGTGCTTTAAAGGCTTTAAATGTGAAGTGATGTAGGAGGAGAGAGAGACAGAGAGAGGGAGGGAGAGGGGAGAGAAGCTTTTATCTTCCTCACCAGTGTTCTCCGTTGTAAGAGCTGACAGGGGGGAGGAGGAGAACCACAGCATCAGTGACAACATCTCCTTCGTCCACGTCTTCACGGTGACGATGGAGCGGATGGAGTCCATGGAGCCGCTCTCTTCTCTCTACACCAGCTCTTACCCAGAGATCCAGCCTGAGGCTCAGGGACAGGAGAAGACTCCTGCTGCTTCCTCCTACAACCAGGACCTGGTTCACAAGGTCAGTCAGTCTTACACAGAGAACACACTGAAGTACAGGGAGCTGTCCATGGTTCTCATCTGCAGTGGGGGTGTGTGTGTGTGTGTGTCAGTTCATGTGGCTACAACCGAGGCTAACATCAGAGGAGTGACGCTAACATAAGCTTAGCTCACAGACAACATTCACTACATCCTGACATGGTCTGACCTGATCTGTCATAAGATTCATTTTCAAATCATATTTATGGATGAGCTCAGGGAGCTAACCAAGCTAATCTGACCTGAATGAAGCTAATTAATGCAGCTAACGCCCCCTCTGCTAAAACAAACTTCAATACTAGCAGAGAAAATTATCCACAAACATCAGCTCATTATGTTTCATGGTCAGTTCTAACAAAAAACACCACTAGCCTAGTCTTAGCTCAATGTTAGCCTGGATTTTGGCTAACGACTCAGTTGAGAACAGAAATTAGCTAATTGAAAATGAAGCCTTAAATATATTGGAAACAGAGTCATGATAAAGATAACACCAACAGGATAAAGAACAGCACAGAAAATACATCTACAATAGCCACAGCTGTAGCTAATGGTTAGCCAAAAAATAACCAAAAGAAAGCTAACAGTTAGCACAAAGACAATTTATATTATTTGACATTCTTCCTCTGACTTTGATTAAAATGCCCATGTAAATGTGTGTCTTCACCCACTACTCTCACCTACACACACACACACACACACACAGACTCATTTCAGTCCGTGTCTTCAGTGTGTGGTGACTCCAGTCTGACTCACTGACAGATGGAGACAAACTTTTCTGTGGTCCAATCAGTCAACAAAAACATTAGTTAGAGTGAGTCACTGCTCGGAGTCAAACTGAGCTTCAGTCTGAGGAGATGTCAGTGTGGACACACACACATTTGGACTGATGTTCTAGAACAATGATGTCCACGTCTGATACAAGTGTGTGTCCGTGTGTGTTTTCCTGCAGACGATCCTGGTGGGAGACAGTGGAGTGGGAAAAACCTCCCTGTTGGTGCAGTTTGATCAGGGAAAATTCATTCCAGGATCCTTCTCTGCCACAGTGGGCATCGGATTCACGGTGTGTGTATACGTGTGTGTGTGTGTGTGTGTGTGTGTTACTATTTTCTTTAGACTCTAGGCCTTCCCTCAGCCTGGATCAGTATGATCAGCAGCTCTTCATCTCTGTTTTTTGCTCAGAATAAAGTGGTGACACTGGACGAGGTAAAGGTCAAACTGCAGGTCAGTGAGGTCCTTTCATGTTTGCTCGTGGTAACCATGGTAACTGTGGCCCATACATCCTGTCAGTCATGTCAGAGTGGTCAGACAACAGCATTGTAAAGCCTGTCCTCAATCCCTACTCCAGATTTGGGACACAGCAGGACAGGAGCGTTTCAGGAGTGTGACCCACGCCTACTACAGAGACGCTCACGGTGAGTGTCCCCCTGACTCACCTCCTAGCTATTAGTCTGTCTTCATCTATCTATCTCCATTTAGCTAAGGATAAATTCTAATAAAACATCTTTTTGTCCCAAAGCATTGCTGCTCCTCTATGACATCACCAACAAATCCAGTTTTGACAACATTAGGGTAAGTCTGGAAATGAACACAAATCTGGAATGGCACAAAAGTCCTACAGTAGAAAAAGTCACTCTTCTATTCCAACGTCTTTGGTCTGAGCTAAAATCACTGATTTTCTTTATAAAGTTTGGTCTGTTGAATATATTAATGATATATTTCATGATAATAAATCAGATAATGATAAATATGTCCATTAATTGAATCATCCTTCTTCACTGTGTGCTTCAGGCCTGGTTGACAGAGATCCATGAGTACACACAGAGTGATGTAGTCATCATGCTACTGGGAAACAAGGTGAGGAGGAGGGTGAGGAGGAGGGTGAGGAGGAGGGTGAGGAGGAGAGGTAGAGAAAGGAGAAAAGAAAACAAAGAGGAGACTGACGTGTTGACTGATTACTGATGATTACTGATGTCTTTCAGGCTGATATGAGCAGTGAGAGAGCCATCAGGAGGGAGGAGGGAGAGAGACTGGCCAGGGTGAGACACTCACACTCACACACACACACACACACAGCTGTTGTGTACTCATTTACAAAAGGTCCTTGAACACATCATCTTCACTTCCTACTCTCCTTCAGTGACGTCAGACACTTTAAACACACTCGTTAAATATTTATCAAAAATTGATTTTTATTGTTTTTGTTAACAACATTTATACTTGTTTTAAAGAGACTTAAGGGAACAAACCAAAGAGTACCAGGAACTGCACAGTGTGGTGTGAACTAATAAACATGATCACAGTCATGTAGTAGAATAAATTAAATGAAAATGTCGTTTGTTCTTCAGGAATACTCGGTTCCTTTCATGGAGACCAGCGCGATGACAGGAGTGAACGTGGAGTTAGCCTTCACTGCTGTGGCCAGGTAGGTTTGACAAAAACGTTAAAAACGCTTTACACTTTTATTTATGTCTCTGATTGTGCTAACAGTCGGAAACTTTATATATTTTTGGTATTTTTTCCTACTTTTCAAAAATATTTCTTTTTTTTTTTACTTTCATTTTATTTGACAGAAATCAGATGTTTTTTTTTAATCGCTGCTCAAACTTTTTGGCCGTTTTCTTTTTGCTAACTGTTGCTAACATCTAACCGAGTAACATTTTGTTTGTCATCCAATGAAACTAAAATAAGTAATTTAAATCATTTCAATTTTATCAGTCTCAATAATAATTAACGTAGAAACTCACATTCATTGTTTCTGAGATTCTTCAGAGTAGACGATTTGAACGTTGCTCCAACCGGAAGTGACCTGAAAGGAAGTGACATCATTAGAGTCGATATAATTTTGTTTGTTTTCTGAATTGATATTTTTTAATTTGTTTTTATTAATGAATTAGAAAAATAAATGCTATAATTTTTTTTATTAAAATCTAAACCTAACTCGACTGACTTGATTGTTGTGATTTTAAAAATAGAGTTTACCCTAACAGTGCTTCATTTTTCTAAATATGATTTAAACTTTAAACTTTGGTGTCCATCCTTCCTGGTCAGGGAGCTGCAGCAGCGGTCGGTCCAACAGCCCAGTGAGCCCAGGTTCCAGATCCATGAGTACATAGACGCTCAGAAGGAGAAGTCCAGCTGCTGCAGGGTCTTCTAGACCACCGTGGTCTCCTTCTTTACATCTGACTGTCTCGTCGTTTCCCCTCATCCAACATCTCCCGACACCTGGAGGACACTGGTCCAGCACTGTGACAGCAGACTGCTGTGACACAGAAGGAGCCACGAGGGGGTGCTGCTGCTGCTGCTGCTGCTACTGCTGAAGCTCTGGCAGGAAGATGTTAACATGAAGAAGATTTAAATATAAATGTTTTCTCCTTAAACATCGGTGGGAGGTGCTGCAGAAGACCAGACTGACCCCCAGGTCACTGAGGTCACTCTGTTCTCCACCAGTGTCCTTTGGGTTCATTATGGTCTGGTCTCCACTGACTTGTTTCTGACTTGATCGACGCGACCTTTCACTGAGCAAAGTCAATTGCAGGAATTGGACTAAGCGCATATAGCCACCAGGGGGCGCCCTGTGAGAAGGAACCAAGGCGTTTACCTGTACAGGACGGTCGGTCTTTGACACTGTGGTCCCCACTGTACATCTGAACAGCCGGAGGTCCCGTCCATCTTCTACCAACAGTCTCTGGTTCTCTGGACCTGCATGAAACAAACCAATCAAAAATCTGTCATCGATATTTAACCGCCGTAATTCAACTCAGGGTCAAACAAACGTTTTGATTTCATTTCATTTTATCTAATATAATTGTAATGAATTGATCGATTAGTTTGTTTACTTCCGTGTTTTATTTATTTCTCCCTTGACTCAGACGTCAGACTCACCGAGTTTTGCTTCAGTACTAACCTCATGTTGTTTATTATTGTTATTATTATTATTTTCCTCTGTCAGTATGCATCCCTGCTCTGCTGATATTTGTATCGATACATGATTAATACACTCAGGTCTGATACAGTCGATCGTCTGTTATGACTCAGGTCTGATACAGTCGATCGTCTGGTTATAAGACTGTAAACAGGCTGCTTTCAGGAAACTGCTGCCATTTCCTGTCTCTGCTCTAGTTAATGCTGCGTCAAAGAAAATAAATTATTTTTATGTGAATTTTTTTTCATTTGTTCAACTCTTTTATCGAGTCCTAACCAATCGATTATATACGGCCATTAAATGTCTGGACTTTGATCAGAGGAAATCAGAAGAGACTAAAAATAAAACTTCCTGTTCAGAGTCACGTCCATCAAAATAAAAGTATCTCCAACATCAGTGACTAGTTTTAGGTCCAGTGGGTGGACAACGGGACAACTGCAGACCGAGGACTCCTCCGCTCGTCCCTCCTTTTCCCATATGTAACAACAAAGTACGGTGTCCCTCACTGACCATATGTTTTGGCATTTGTTTTTCAAAAGTTTCCTAATTTTTTGTTGCTATTTTTCTTCCTACATCTCTGAATTCTTCCTCTTCTTTTATTTTAATCTGTCTCTCTCTCTCCCTCGTCCCCCATCGCTGCTTCTTCCTGGTCATTTATTGTGAAATCTTGTGTTTGCCGTGTGAGTTATCGCGGTAACTTGATGCGATTAAACCTCGGTGTTGAAGGTAGAGTTCTTAGATCAGTGGGGGAGGAACCACGGGTCACAGAGGAACTCTCACTGTTCTTCTTGTTCATCAGGAAGAGTCAGAGTCAGAGTCAGTGAGGAGGAGTAAAGGCAGGTGGCGCTATACACTCTCCAACTTTAAAGCGAGGCCAAGTTTAACTTTATAATCAAACAGGTGGATTCAGATCAGACCAAACCCTCCAGGATGTCGAGCCTCAGACCCAGGCGGTGTTTGATGGAGAAAACCCCGGACGGGTACGGGTTTCACCTGCACGGAGAGAAGAGAAGGAGCGGCCAGTTCATCCGCCTGGTGGAGCCCGACACCCCGGCCGCCGAGGCCGGGCTCCGGGCCGGTGACCGGCTGGCCTTCGTTAACGGAGAGAATGTGGAGGGCGAGAATCACCAGCAGGTGGTGGGCCGGATCCGAGCCACTGAACCGGGTCAGCATCTGGAGCTGATCGTCTACGACAACGAGACAGCAGAACTACTGGAAAAACACGGGCTCCAGTGCCGGAAAGAGTACGTCACTGAGGGGATCCCGGTGCCGGGGGCTTCCTCCGGGGACAGCGACTCCGAGCGAGGGGCCAGCCGGAGGAACAGCAGCCCTGTCCCGCAGGAGAACGGAGACACGTCCTCTGAGAGATCCGAGAGACTGAGCGTCAGCTCCAGCAGCAAGGTATTCTGGTCTATTCTGATTTATATTATTCATGTCATGTCAGATATTTATTTATGACTTTTTTTAATTATTATTAGAAATTCTCCTTAATTACAAGGTTGCCACAGTGTTTCCTCCTCAGTCTGATCTGAGGTCAGTGGAAACGTCTCCTTTTCTTTTTCTCTTTTTAAATTCCACGTCCAGTTCGTCTCGTTGGATCAGATGTTTGAGTCCAACAGACACAGACACTAATCGTCTTTACCTCTGACCTGAGATGCACTCCGGCTGTAGCTAGCTTTAGGGTTACTTTCATTATTATTATTATTATTATTAACAATAATAATTATTAATATTGTTGTTGTTGTTTTTAGCTTATTCCAGTCTTCCTGTCTAACTCTAACTATATTTATGACAGATTTTAACTCATCTTTGCCAGCTCTCCAAAGTTACATGTGAATTATTACCAGTGTAATTACCAGTGTAGTTACCAGTTAGTTACCAGTACCATAGTCCGTCTGTGTTTTGTTAGCTATGGACAAAGTTGAGCTTCTATCGCTAACCTTTAGCTGTCTTGGCTGTTGGTGGTGAAACCTTCATCTCTTAGCCGGGCTAACCTTTAGTTCTGAGTCCATTCAGACGAATGTCTTTGTGAAGGTGGGCTTTACAGTGGAACTGACCTTTGACCTTTCTCTGATCCAAATAACGAATTCTGGTGTAAACAGGAAGTCAGATCATTAGCAGTGGTTACTGTTTTATGACATCACTGAGTCTGTACCTGTTCCACCCAGACCAAAGTCCTGCTCTCAGTTAAATGTTTGGTAAGAGCTGTGTGTGTGTGTGTGTGTGTGTGTGTGCTGCGTCAACATCAACCTGTTAGTCAGTCACTGCTGCAGTGGAAACTCAGCAGCTTTGACAGTGAATCCCTTCGTTAGTAACAAAGTAACAACTGTCTTATTATCATAGCTAACATACACGGCCCACACTGATACAACAAGACAAACTGTTGCCACATCGGTGGCTAACGTCTTCTAGCTGTAGCCCACCTATGTTGCTGTTCTAGGTTTATTTAAATTCAATCTTTATTCTGAACAGTTGGAGGTCCAGTTTTGTCTGTCTGACTAGTTCTCACGCTGCACTCCTTCATGACTGTCTCTGACGCTGAAACCTGTTTGAGTGGAAAAAAAATAAATAATAAAATCAGCTGGCCTGTTTTTGACCTTCAAGACTGGCAGCTGCAGACACATCCACCCCCGGGTTTTAATGGTCTGACGTCACTTTCTGAAAGTCACTTCGTTAAAGGAACACCTCTAATTCTTCACAACAATGATTCTGTCACTGTAGAACTGTGAAGAAACACATGAAGGTGAACATGACTGGAGGATTTTAATGGAATCACTGTCTCTGGTTTGTCTTCTCGTAACAGTGACATGTAGTGACAGGGAGGACATGATGTAAAGGCTCAGGTCACGCCCTGATATCTCATGGGAACAGGTCTTTATAAATGAGTCACTGCCAATGGAAAAATAAAATCTAGATTCTCCCCTGATCCATGAGAACCAGAGCTAAAATCACTGATTTTCTCTATGGACTTTGGTCTGAGCTAAAATCACTGATTTTCTCTATGGACTTTGGTCTGAACTAAAATCACTGATTTTCTCTATGGACTTTGGTCTGAGCTAAAATCACTGATTTTCTCTATGGACTTTGGTCTGAGCTAAAATCACTGATTTTCTCTATGGACTTTGGTCTGAGCTAAAATCACTGATTTTCTCTATGGACTTTGGTCTGAGCTAAAATCACTGATTTTCTCTATGGACTTTGGTCTGAGCTAAAATCACTGATTTTCTCTATGGACTTTGGTCTGAGCTAAAATCACTGATTTTCTCTATGGACTTTGGTCTGAGCTAAAATCACTGATTTTCTCTATGGACTTTGGTCTGAACTAAAATCACTGATTTTCTCTATGGACTTTGGTCTGAACTAAAATCACTGATTTTCTCCGTGGACTTCCTTGTTCAGAGTCCTTTCTCGTTGCTTCTTTAATTCCAGAACTTTCCTTTCTTTCCTCCTTTCATGTTCAAACACTGCTGACAAAAGCTCTTCTCTTCTTGTTGCCATAGCAACCAGTTGAGTCCTAGTGGGCAGAGTCACTGGAGGCCAGGATGTTACCATAATGTGATAACATGGCTCTGTTCCTGGTCCTCAGCTGTATCTGCTGCAGAGTGACCTTTGACCTTTTGACTCATGAATGTTTCTTGTGAATTTTCCCATCGGTCTTTCATGAAGGAAAAGATCAGTGACTCATCACTGGAACTATTCTTGTGTGAAAGTTCAGTGAAGATGTAAGTCATCAGTTGTGGAACCCAGTACCAGGACTTGGACTGGTACTTGGTCCATCATCTTTCCAGGTCTGTGTGGAACCAAGTACCAGGACTTGGACTGGTACTTGGTTCTGATAGGCCTCGTATTTTCAGTTCCTGGTTCCTAGAACTTTATTTTTAGGGTGTCACATACAGTCCTTGTGGATAGATGTTTTGTTGTTCCTTCTGTGAAGTTTCTGGTACTGTTCTTAGTTGTGTCAGGTCCAACAACAAGTTTGACTTCACCAGAGGAATGTAACGTTCCTGCAGGAACATCTGTGTGATGGAGATAACCACAGTGCAGACAGAGAAAGGTCAGACAGGAGACGGACGTGAAGAAGAAGAAGAAGAAGAAGGTCCAAGGAGGTCAGTGGAGATCTGTCGAACTACAGGGGAAACTGGAGAGCAGAGGTCAGCAGAGGTCAGCAGAGGTCAGCAGAGGTCAGCAGAGGTCAGCAGAGGTCAGGCGTCACTGGTGTGAATGTGATTCACACCTCGTTCACTCTGGGCCCCAGAGCAGAAGTCAGGGTGAGATGGTTAATAGATCACCTCCTCCTGTGGTTTATGGAGGTCTGAAGGTCAGACCAGGGTCTGGGTGGAGCCTGGATGAAGCTGATAAAAATAAAATTCCTCCGTGATAAGAAGCTGACAGATGTCGACTTTGGAGTCAGAGATAAGAGCAGCTTCACAGGAGCGGTTCTCATACACACACACACACACACACACACACAGACCGGGGGTGTGTGTGTGTGTGTGTGTGTGTGTGTGTGTGTGTGTGCAACAGGTTCCTCTGTCAGCAGAGGAACCTGTTGGTTCAAACCACTTCCTGTCGCAACAGTCGCTGAACGACAGAGTCGACTGGGTCTCAGATCAGACTCACCCAGTTAGTGGGGGAGTCGGTGAGTTAGTGGGTGAGTCTGGAGTTAGTGTGAGAGTTGGGGAGTTAGTGGGGGAGTCGGTGAGTTAGTGGGTGAGTTAATGGGGGAGTCGGAAGCTAGTGAGTGAGTCGGGGAGTTAGTGGGTGAATCGGGGGGTTAGTTTGTCATGTCAACCATGTCCATTCACCTTTAAGGACAGTCAGCTACAGTCGGTGTTGTCGGTGTCTCTCCTACAGTCAGACTGAAACAGGTGGATCCACCTGTCACACTGACCTCTGGTCCACAGAACCACAGTCCTGATCCAGACCCCGGTCACAGCTGGTCCTGGTTCAGGGTCTCAGTTTTCATTTGTGTCTTCTCCCCTGATGGTCATCTGTTGTTACTGCAGCCCACAGTCTGTGGTTCTCCTCCACCCAGACCCAGACTCTGACAGAACACTGGAGGATCAGAAGTTTGGAACCCGACCAGCAGCAGTCTGGTATCCTTCCTCACGTTCCTTTGGTTCCTCAGTTGTTCTATCACCTCCTATTGGCTGGGATCTGACTCAGAACGATGAAGAAATGAGTTTGTCTTCAGTGAGAGTACAGAGGAATTATGGGATTGTTATCAGCTCTAACTGTCGACCTACGACAGCTAACAGGACAGTGAGCTAACAGGACAGTGAGCTAACAGGACAGTGAGCTAACAGGACAGTGAGCTAACAGGACAGTGAGCTAACAGGACAGTGAGCTAACAGCACAGTGAGCTAACAGGACAGTGAGCTAACAGCACAGTGAGCTAACAGGACAGTGAGCTAACAGCACAGTGAGCTAACAGGACAGTGAGCTAACAGGACAGTGAGCTAACAGCACAGTGAGCTAACAGGACAGTGAGCTAACAGCACAGTGAGCTAACAGGACAGTGAGCTAACAGCACAGTGAGCTAACAGGACAGTGAGCTAACAGCACAGTGAGCTAACAGGACAGTGAGCTAACAGCACAGTGAGCTAACAGGACAGTGAGCTAACAGATTTTTAAACATCTGTTAAAAGCTAACAATTTTAAACATCATCACAGGAAAAATCCTGGAAACGTGGTTCCACTGCACAAATGAATTGAAGAATTAGCCTAAAAGACAACGCGCTTGAGTGAATTAGCCACACATGTATCAACAGAACTATTATCTGAAAGGATACCTTAAAGTTAGCCAAAACAGTTAGCACAGCGTTCAAGGCCTAAAAGTAAAAAAAGCTGAGGGAATCATTTACAGCAGTGTCAGCAGCAGACCAACGCCCCTGCTGGTCGTAACCAGGTGAGGTGGAGCGCCTCCTCTGTGGACTTTGCTCCTCACATGTTCTGTTCTTATCGCGTGTCGCTGGTTGTTGGTCATAAACTGTACTCATCCATCCAAAGGTCTGCTCCACCTGGACCGCAGCTCCACCCTGTGGACTCAGACAATCATTAGGTCTCCTCGTCTAACATTAACCACCAACACGTCCGGGGAGAAGGTCAGAGGTCACCTGAGGTGAAGTGAGGGCTCACTGAACGCTGAGGTGGCAGTTGGGTGCAGAATGATTGACAGATATATACATGTGTATATTGACATGTACCTGTACACACACATACAGTACATGTATGTACATATATAAGGTCATGTAAATATATATATGTATATATGTACAATACATCCATGTCTGACCAATAATAATGATGTCAGTATTGAAAAATGAAGGGTTGTGCTTTGTGTCTTCGTCTCAGGGGGACAGCACTGGACCTCGTCCTCGTCTCTGTGTCCTGAAGAAGGGGGAGGGCGGCTACGGCTTCAACCTCCACAGTGAGAAGTCCAGACCAGGGCAGTTCATCAGGGCCGTGGACGACAACTCTCCGGCTCACAGGGCGGGGCTTAAACCTCAGGACAAGATCATACAGGTGTGAGCACGCTCACGTGCACGCTCACGTGCACGCTCACCCATACAAATGTGTTTAGCTCTGCTTTACCTGGTACATAACAGCTAACTGTTAGCTCCTAGTCAACTGTTAGCTATTAGCCAACTGGTCCAGGTCTAAAGCTGAGCTTCAGGAATGCGAGAAGATGAAGAATTCCAGACACAAGTCTCACCCCAGTGTGGGAGACGTTCCTGAAGGAATTCCTGTCTCTCCTCCCTAACACATTCCTCACCCCCTTATCTCCCCTCGGGTGTTTAATGAGTTCTAGCTGTGGGAGAGAACAGCGTGGTACCAGACTGTGGTACCCATCAGACCTGAGGTTCTCCTCCATCCATCCATCAGTGGTTCAAACTCCCTCATCTCCTCTCCTCTCCCCCCCCCCTCTCCGCCCCCTCCCCACCACCTTGTTCCTTGGGATGCAGCACTCTGACGTGGTGTCAGCCATCAAAGCAGGAGGAGACGAGACCAGGCTGCTGGTGGTGGACCCTGAGGCCGAAGAGTTCTTCAGGAGCTGCAACGTCCTGCCAACAGTGGAGCACCTCACTGGTAACGACACACACACACACACACACACACACACACACACACACAGATGTACACACACACCAGTACCAGTGTGAATAAGAGCTGGTCTCCTCTGTCCACTGCAGGACGTCTGCCTGAACCAGTGTCCCAGAAAACGTCAGAGGATGAAGAGGTGAGGCCCGACGTGCACACACTCACTCACACACTCACTCACACACTCACTCACACACAGACTCACACACTCACTCACACACTCACTCACACAGGCCTGGTGAAGTCCTGCTGATCCTCTCTGGACTGGACAGGCAGCAGATTACGGTCCAGTCCTGGACTGTGTCTCTGTCAGGATAGGACTCCCCCTGCTGGAGGCCGGAGCCATGGCCCAGCATGAGACTGGCAGTTTGGCTGTCAAGAAAAAGAATCACTACAAATCCTCTGTTTTTAGTTGACAAAGAGATGGGAGCTGCTGGTCCACTGCTGCCCCCTGTGGACAGTCAGTGTCATTAATGTAAATCTACAGAGATAACAAACAGTTACATTGGAAAATAACTGTGATGAACCTTTGGACTTTGTAAGGAGGCAGCGGTGGATCAACAGCTGCTGCGTCTCCGTCAGATAAAATCACTGGTTTTCTCTGTGAGGTTTGGTCTGGAGGTCTGGACCTGTGAGTGTCTGATGGTTCCACCAGCAACTATGTTTACACTGACAGCCAGTCTCACACTCACACACACACACACTCTCACACACACACACACTGAGTGTGAGTGCACTCTGGGAGCTGCAAGGCCATCGCTGTGACATCATCAGGAATATTTTCCCACTGCTCCAGAAAAGTGTAGAAAATCAGTGGAATGTCAGTTTAATTAGCACTTTGTCCCACAATAGTGTGTATTTGTGTGTGTGTGAGTGTGAGTGTGTGTGTGTGTGTGTTTTGCTCTGGTGGCCACTAGGCCACTGCCAGTTTATCAAAAGTAAACACACTTTCTCTCTCACACACTCACTCACTGTGGTGACATTGTGGCTGACCCTTCACCATGGTAACGGTGGCTCAGCCATTGGCCCCGCCCCCTTCCCTGTGTTTCCTGGAGGATCATGGGATTGAAGCAGCAGCAGGTTTAGGTCTGAGGCCCAGAGAGGATTATGTTAATGAAGAGGAACCTTCACATGGATCAGAGTCTGCTGCACACAAACAACCAGCCATTCACCAGCTCTGACAGAACACACACACACACAGACACACACACACACACACAGACACACAGACACACACACACACAGACACAGACACACACGCAAGAGTCCATCCATGTTCTACCAGTTATTACTGTTATTAACTTACCAGTGTCAATTCCATGTTGTGTTTATTTTAAACACACAATATACACAGTTTAATCTAATTTAAAATAAATTAGTTTAAACTGTGGCATTATCATTTCACTGTTATGACAGGATATAAAAAACTGTAAACGGATGACTAGTGACATCTGCTGGACAAAACAAGCAATTGCGGGTTAGAGGCGGCCTAGTGTTGTTCTGAACTAAAATCACTGACTTTCTCTTTGTCGTTGTTGTTGTTGACATCGTTGTTGTTGTTGTTGTTGTTGAACAGCCATCTTCAGTGGTGAAGGCTGCACAGTCCCAGAGATCTTCAGTTTCCAGCTCCTCATCTGACTCCTCCCTGCGGAGAGCAGACTCCAGCTCTACTCCTCCAGAGGTGAGTGAGGGCGGCCATCTTGGTTCCATCAGCAGCAGTTCCTCATTTCATCAACTAGTTCCTGAGGTCTCTCCACTGGTGTAGGTTTGTCCATCTGGTCAGTGTCACACTAACACGCGCTGTGTGTGTGTTTGTGTGTTCAGGTCGACAGGAGCCCAGAGTCCGATGGTCTGGGTCTGGGTTTGTCTTTGGCTCAGGCTCGAGAACGAGCTCATCAGAAACGAGCCGCTAAGAAGGCTCCGAATATGGACTGGCGCAAGAGGAACGAACTCTTCAGCAACCTCTGAATGTCCTCCTCCCCTCCTGACTCCACCTCCTGACTCCACCTTCACCCTCAGCTCCAGCTCCAGCTCCAGCTCTGTTCAGAGTCCAGACCATGGACACTGAGGTGAATCGGTACCAGGCAGTCCTGGTCCTGGGTTCTCTGGACGTTGTTTTCACAGTTAGAACATCTGAACATCATCATCATCATCCTCCTTCACATTAACAACAGTATTACCTGCTGATCTCTTCTTCTCCTTCTCCCTCTTCTCTACCTGAATCTCTCTTCGCTCACTGAAATGAATGAAGGTTTAAATCTGAAGACTCAGACTCAGACTCTGACTCAGACTCACACCTAGACCCAGACTGAGACTCAATTATTTCAGTGAAATCCACATGTTTAAATAACCAGTAATCAGGAAGTGGAATGAAACCCACGTGACTGACACCATGGGCAGGTCCGTACGGAGGCCCAGAGGAGTCAAACTGTCACAGGTTCACACAGGTGTAAAACAGTTTCAATTATTTTGAAATTCTTCAGAACCACAGCAACACCGCAGACATACTGTACGCCAGCAGAGAAGAGTTAGCTGTGTCCACCACTGGGTGGTGCTGTTTCGTTGCTCCCACGGTCAGACTCTGACAGAGGAAATTAAAAAAGAATCACTGTTTCTGACTGAACAGAATCTTTGTTCCTGTGGTGTCTGTGATTTCCCGACACTCTGGGCCTCCGCGAGTTTTTTGATTGAGTGAATGATTTTTGTTTCACTTGTACATAAATGAATTGATCAGAGGATCAGCTCTGAGAGACTGTTGTTGATTGATTCTGATTAAAACATTTCAAAGCTCCTCTCCGCTGTTTTGATTCAAACATTATCATAATTTATAAACAGAATCAAATAATAATATATGTCATTACATATATGTATGGTATATATGTAATGGCCACTGGGCGGAAGAGTTGTCAGTGGTTCAGAGGTCAGGTAGAACCCAAAAACATTTATTCAGTAAAAATGTTTTAATGAATTCTCCGTACTCCTGGAGTTTTAGTTCATCAATAATAAAAACAATAAACATTGAAAGAATACAGCGAGAGTCAAACGGACAGAGGAACAAATAAACAAGTCAGTGTTTGGTAACAGTTCCACAGAACCAGTTGCAGGAACATTTAAGTGAAATATAAAAGTCAAAAAATTATTAGTTTCTGCAGAAAAGGAAAAGTGTTTTTGACTGATGTTTCCCTTTTGGTTTCAAACCATCAACCCATTCACAGGAAGGTTCATCAACTTCAAAGACCAGCAGGAGATTCTCTTCTGAATATTTACATCTGGTTTAACTTCCCTGCCGTGACGTTTACACTGCAGGACTTTTATTTTGAAGGAGCAGACTCAGACCTCCTCTCTAACAGTGTGGACGAGTTTAGAACTACATTTATTTTGTAAACATTTTAGATTCCACACGTGCAACAGTGGCTTAACAAAATGTTTTTTACTTTATAAAAACCAAAATAACCACAGACCCTGAAGGCAACATCTGATAAACTAATGGTTCAAATCAATCGATTATTGAGTGTGTTATATTTTAAATCATTGAAATGACAAACCTGACAAACTGATCAGTGACTGATTAGAGTTCATCGACGCAGCTTCAACTGGAAACCTTGAATAAATAAAACGTTTAAGCATGAAATAAAAGTCAGTTTTCATAAAGTCTGTCATTTCTAAAAACCTCGCTCCAGTCTGTCAGTGTGAGCAGAGGACGTCCTGAGACCCCCAGACCAAGAGTCTGTTTCAAAGAATAAAATACTCTGTAAAATATCTGTTTCACTCCGAGATGACCACAAATATTAATTCCCTGTGTTTGAAAACAAACAAACAAACAAACAAATAAACAAACAAACAAAGCCACAATAGAAGAACACACTGGTGGATTTGGACCCAGTGACCCCGTGACCCCGTGAGAGTTCTGAGGAAAAGTGCTGCAGTTGAAACAACAGGAAGGAAGAAGGAAAGGAGTGTGTGACTCAGAGGAAAGTCTGACCAGAATCTTCCTCCGTCTGGAACTCCAGCTCTTCCTTCAGCGTTATTCCAACATGGCGTCCAGCTGATCGGCTAGGTCGTCGAACATGTTGCTAATGTCGTCCAGGATGTTTCCTGCTGCCGACACAGAGCTGCTGCTGAGGAACAGACACAGACACCGGGTCGTCAGGTTCTGGTTCTAGCCATAAAAGGCTAAACGTTAGCTCAGCAGGAGCAGCAACACCAGCACAGTCCTCTGGTCCTTACCTGTCCACCTGGTTCCCCTGAGAAAGTTTGTCCTCCGCCACCTTGAGGACCTCCTCCAGGGAGGTGCTGGTCTGCTCCAGTCTTCTCTGAGTCAGAACCTCCAAACCTGCCGGTCCAGGTCTTCCAGGTGGAGCTGAGGTGGAGTAAGAGCTGGAAGAGACTGGAGCTGAGAAGGTGAGGTTCTGGAGCAGAGCCCGGTCTGGTCCTGTGGAACACATCAGAAAAGCTCAGATCAACAAGCAGACCCACACGAAGACCTCTACAGCGCCCCCTGCTGTGTGCTGTGAACCTCACCTGCTGTGGGCACTGATGGTGGACTGTACCGAGGATTTCTGGACACCGACCCTCCAGCAGGTTCTGACCCACTCTCAGGTCTGGACTGCAGCGCCACCTGTTGGTGTTTCCCGAGACTG